GGGGGGGGGGGGGGGTTAGAGGTGGAAGGTTGCAAGAACCAACCATTTTGAAAATCCGAAATCGATGCTTCGTGAGAATTCGCCGTGATGGTTTTATATCGTGAGTCGACGACGACCAGTGACTTGTGAAAATGGTTGGGTGAGGGGTGGTAATCGGGGGGGATGGAAAAGTTGAAACCTCTTCAGAAATCTTTCGATTTGACTCACCCTCTCTCTCCCTCTCTCTTTCCTTTAATATTTTGCCTCTTTCTTCCTCATACACTTCTTTTTACGTATTTCTTCTTTCTTTTACACTTCCCGCACAGTAAAGACCGTCCTTATTTCACCGCCAAAGTAAATAGAGCGTATTTCTTCTGGGAATGACAGGAAATTCAATAATCTCGTCGCAGAGGCGACACTGCGCCTTGTGCGTCGTACCGAGCGAGGAAATAACTGAATTTCGGTATAAGGAAGATGCGTTTAATTTCAGCAGCGATAATGGCGAAATTCTTACGAATCGGTGCAAAGCACTCGTATCTCACTCGCTTTAGGTGCTGCTTTATCACAGGTGGTGCTTCGGACACCAAGTGCTGCAGTACTTTTGCACGGAATAGAGCAACTTCACGCTCGTTCTCTCATAGCCCTATAGATAACTGCTTCTCGTGTAAAGGCTGTTTTACAATTAATGCAAACTAAACTTTCCGCCCGTGCAGTGTAGCTGGTAACACGTCCCCCCGGAACGATAGAATTCCAGGAGCAAGACTCCTGGCCGTGAAAATAATTAAAAACATTATTATTCATTTCTAACGAAAGAAAACTAAGGAGGGACGGAACGGGAGAGAGATAGAAAGAAAAATAAAATACGACAGAACGTACGATATAGTGATTTTCGAATTTTAGTAAAATCGCTACTATGAGAATTGCGAAAGAGGCTTGAAAAATTGCTTGAGTCGCTTTAACAATTATGCGACTAATGACGAAGGGAATCGCAAAAGCCAAGTACGCCTTAGGGAGCAGCTTACAAGCGCGTTTACATGTAGAAGTAAAGTATGTATATTTTTCTCGAGTAACAAGAGAAACCATGGAAAGGTACGTCAGCCAACCATGGAGCGAGAATAAAAATTTCATATATGTAAAAATATTCAATCGACTCTCTCTCTCTCTCTCTCACACACACACACTCTCCCAGTTCCCGCACTCCAGGTTCCTGAGGACGCTCTATCTTAGATTGCCCCAGGAGAAAGGAAAATCTTCCCAAGCGTGCTAACGCTCTCTCACCACCCGCCCCTCTCACTCTCCTCGTCGCTCTCCTTCGTTCTTTCTCTTTCGCCTGTTCTATTCTATTCCACCTAGTATACCTAAGCTACGTGCTGATTCCGTGCTCCGGCGCCTTAAAGCGCGTACTTTATTACTCCGTAGACATTAAAAAAAAATCGCACAGACAGGGATCAGACCAAAGAAAAGAAAGACGAAGAGAGGAAGGCTGAGAACGAAGATGGTAGATAAAGCTCAAGATAGAAGTATAGAACAGACCGTAAAAATTGGTTGGCACTATCACGTAGAAGTCTCCTACCGACAAAGAGAACCGTCTCTACGAAGAGGACCCTTTTCCCCTGGAGTTCCTTTGGTCCTCTTAGTCCTGAGTTTACATGCATGAGCGAGTAGCATGGATGCTGCATAACGTGGGTCGAGATTTACTGTGAAGATGCGCATCTCCCATATGGACATTTACAGAAATCCGCTTTTCTTACAATTTACACATACACCTTACTCTCGGACCTACGTCCATACGTATTTATATCCCTCTTTGCATAATCGATAACGTCCGAATTTCCCTGTCATGTATATTCTCATTATATATATATACACAATATATATTGTTTCACATACAAATATTACACATAAAAACTTTTTCGTTTTATGCCCGGCATGTACTTACTATATATCCTTTACCATATTATATTTTTTCCCTTATTTGTCCTTTTTTCGCCTTTGTTCACTTATTACAGAGATATGAAAAAAAAAACCGTCCCATCGATCGACTTCCGTACTTTTCACTTTGCTCGCTATAACGATCGACCAGTCGTTTGATTTTACCGAACGCAAACTTCATTTCGTGTCTCGAATACGTCACGTCCACGATTAAGCTCACGGAATTTAAGAGCAGGTGTATTAGAGAGACATTCTACATAAGAGTACCAGAATATGTGCACGTATGTTTTCGACACATCGAATTAGTGAGAAAAAGAGAGTGAAAAGGAATGAGAGAGCATATGAGTAACTGAGGAGAAGAGCGAGAGAGATAGAGAGGAAATTTAAACCGAGAATGACTCAATTCTTGGCACAGAGGTTGATATGTTGCAATTACGTCACACGGCTTGCATAC